TGGTTTCATGGGGACCCCCTGCTGTCTTGCATCTGATTTCCCTCCTAAGTATGGTATAGGGAAGCGTCTTGAGGGCTATGCCTGCGACCTCCATACAGCTCTTTTGTCAAGTGCCATTTCATTAAAAAATCAGCCTTTTAACTGTGGACACATTTCAACCTCACCAAATCTGCTAATTATTGACAGTTGGTGAAGAGGAGATTTCACTTGTTCCTCCTGTTAAACTGCATCTAATTAGTAATTACTGGTTCACTGTCATCTTTACTGCAATAATCCCACTGCACATTGGCTCATTAACCTTTTGCTTTTCTAAAGCAGCCTGCCAACAAGATGAAGGCTAAAACAGATTGGAAAACAATAGCTCAGCCTTGGATTTTAGGCTGTTTATTCCCCTTGTCCTGGAGATCCAAAAGGAAGATTATTTTTAAGAAAAGGCTTTCAGCTGCAATCAGCCTAATTCCGGAAGATGGCTTGTTTTGCCCTAACCAGCAACCGCCAAGGCCCTTTAAACTTAACTCATGGTGAGGGCATGTGTATTACAGCTAGTGGAAGGGTTTCTCTGCCATCACCTCTTGCTTCAGCTCCATTTCTCACCTGCGTTTATCCTTCTTTATCAGCACAATCCAGCACACTGGGCATGGGATGAGGCAAGTTCTGGCGGGTTTGCAGCACCCTGGAAGCTCAACAGCATCCTCTTGGATGCTGAAAAATGAATGATCTGGATGAGCAGGGACCAAAGGGTGGAAAATCAGTGGAGCAACCCCATGGTTATTTCTTTTGCTGCTACACTGAATTTCATTTGCACAAGTCCCATTTTCAGTTTGGAACTGTCACAGCTGTTTCTATTGGCAGTGCATAGCTGAGTAGGAGTTGTCAGTGGGGATGCTGGAGGATAGGCGGTTAGAAGAGAGATTCCCCGGGGGGCATGGGAGGCAGTTGGAGGTTGTGGGCTAAATGCATTAACTAGATGTTTCTCCTCAACTTAACAGCAGCGAATTACTTAATGCATATTGATGCATTTAGGTACCGGAGTTAACACTATATTGGGAGGAAAAGTGTCTTTCTCAGCATCTCAAGCGCACTTAGTTGCAAGGACCCACATCTTTACAGTTGACACTAGGGTTTTAGTTTTATAAGGTGATCTTCAAAACCACAACATCTAGAAAGAAGCTGTAAGTCTGGAGCACCGTTGCAGACATCAAAGTGGATGCCATCTGTACAAAATCAAGGAAAGTATAAGGTCTCAGCTAGACTAAATATCGATCCAGAAGAAGATCAGGATGCATTATCCTTCCCAGCACATGAAGGTTGTTCAGCTCCAGAATTTTCATTTACCTGATATTGGTGTTTCTGGATGCAACCAGAGCTGAATTCTGATTTCTGTTATTCTAAACCAGGTATAACTCTGAAGCAGCTACAGCTGATGTGATAAGGTGGCTGCGTTTATCTAGCAAAACAGATTTACTAAATCTATTGCAAGGCTTCAATTCTGCTTGAAAACTGATTCTAAGTTTGAGCCCCTTTAGCAGAGTGGATCAAAGGCAGCCAGTCAAGCTCCCGTGCTAAAACAAGCGCTCAATAACACATCAGCTTCTGTGTTTGCTCTCTGACTAAAGAAAAAGGACTGTGAATGTGTGATTAAGGGCAGAATTTGGCTCATTTACAATTCCTGAACGGGTTGCTGCTCAGACCATAATCATATTTTTGGAACAGAACATGCCTATTACATCTTGTTGTTAATAATTTACTCCCCGGGTAGTGCTCATTACAACGGCATCATCTCAGTCGTGCTATGTTCACCTACTGCAGTTATGAGAAAAAGCAAATACACACACGTGTACGTATGTACACACGCGTACACGTACAGGGAGAGGTCAATGTTCACACTCAAAGGCTACTAACAGGTGTCTGACAAGTTCATGGGCCAGTGACGAGTGACCAAGAAGAAATGCTCTTCGCAAGGAAACTCACGTTTCCTATCCAAGACTGTGAAGAAATGGCTCTGGAGAGATTGTCTCAGCTCAATCACTTGCTCTGCTCACTCGAGCATCCCCACAGTCACCACCAGTGAGATTCTGCAGGATGGGAGGAGCGCCCTTTACGCACACACCCACACACATTCATGATGAATGCAAACGTAACGGGAAGACTGGTCACACCAGGCTGCTACGGAGAACCTGATTCCCTGGTGTCAGCAGATGTGAGGTCCAGCTGTGCACGTGGAGGTAACTCCAGTTGAGCAGAGCCGAGATCCCGGTGGGGAATGAGCTATACCACCAGCTGTAATGGTTTCTTTTCATTGACATGAAGTGTGGGCAGAGAGCATCCATTCTGTTTGATCCACTAATCAGCGCTGATTCATGTTTACACTGCAGATAACATCTCGTCTGCTTTTAGAAGGTCATTTTCAAGGGATGCTGTATGGTTTCAGTATTGCCTGATGCCTGCAATCTGAATATCCTTAATTTTCCTTGTGGGCTAGAATTCATTCAGCTGTTCGCATCAACACAATTTTTCATGCTGTGATATCAGATACTATACATTATAAACTACCTGTCACCCATAAAGCTAAAATACAAAAGGCAAAAACACCTTGCGAGCTTCATTTTTAGATAAAGAAAGTAAGGCAATGAATAATTATTGTTGTAGAGCCCCAAGCCTTTAATTCTGAGTGCCTCAGATTCTGGTACCAAAACTTTAGTTCCCACTGACCTTAGTAGACACCCACTATTTCAGGGAAGGCCACACTAAGCGATGCCTACAGAAAATACTGGAAATGTACAAAATGCTAAATTTCAAAAGCAAATTGAGTTTCCTGTCTATGTTGAAAGGATGGTTTGGTTTGGCCAATGCTATTAAACATGTGTGTCACCAGTGAGAAGGGAGAAAACACACCATGACTGCTGCTTAAGGCTTCAGATGACACAAAGTCTGGGAAAGTGGTAATTAAGAGCCCAGGTCACTGACACAGAGACCTCTGGATGACAGAGTGATCTGTGGAAAAGAAGTCAATGTGCATCATACCACGGTCTAACACAAAATGGTCTGGGCACAAAGAGTATGTGTACCTATGGCATGGGGCACCATTTGGGGAGAACGGTGGCAATGTCACCTTTGGGGCAAATGAGGTTGGTGGTACCTGCTGTGGTCTTGCTTCCCTGATTATCTTGAAAGGAGACCTCCCAGGAAAGCCCATGGCTATCTTCTGGTGGGTGAAGCTCCTTTCCCTAGAAATATGAGCGTAAGGGATGCTCTATGTCCAACTCTCCTTCCAAGAAGAACTTTGGACATACTCTGGGCACGTACCTCGAACAGGCGCAAGACCTGGAAATACTCCTCAGTCTGTCATAACCAAAACCTCTGAGCAGAACTTGGGATCACGGCAAAAAAACAATGGACAGGGAGCTAAGGTTGAGCTCGTGCCAAAATGACTAACACGCTCTGTGGATGTACGAATTCAAGTAGAAGCAGGCAAATCACATTGCTCCTGCAACTGGTACTTGTGCAACTTCTTACTGGAATACTGTGTCTGGTTCTTATGGAAGTGCTCCAAAAAGGATGTTGACTAATTAGAAAAAGTTTAAGGAAGAGCCATATGAATCATTAAAGCTTCAGAAAACACGTCTTTTAGCAAGAGACTCCAAGATTGAGCTATATTCAGTTTCTTAAAGAGAAGATTAAGGGACAGTTTTATCTCAGCCTGTAAACAGCTAGAAGGACAAAAAAAAATTCGTAACACGTTTTTCAGTCTAGCAGACAAGTGTACAACAAGATTCCTGGCTAGAAGTCGTGGATAAACCCATCCAGACCAAAATCAATTAACCAGTAGAGACTGTGATACCAATTTCTGATCAACTGTTCTAGCTGACACAAAAAGAACTTCAGCAAAGTCCTTTGCTCTGTTTGATCGAGGTTTTACCACTTGATAATTGTGACCCCCCCTGTAAACGTACAAATTTACAATCTGCAAATCTATAAGCTCCAAACAGCAAGTGGTCAAAACTAATGACTTACAAATAAAGACGCCTTAGCAATTTGTTCAACTAACTTAGGTACAAGTGATTTCATCAGTCATTCTGCCTGTTTCCTTGGCTAGCTTTCCTCTGTTCACCCCCCGGCTGTGTCTTCCCAGAGCCAGGCTAGAAGATGAAAAGGCAGAAACCCTCAAAGAAGCTCTGGGCAAGTACGTCCACATCAAACACATATCCCAGGCTCTTTGCTTAACGGACAAAGACTTGTTTCCACTAGGTTAACACCAAGGAAACACGACTGTCATGGGAAGGGGTGAGCTCAACCATGTTCTCCCTGGTGCAGCTCAGCTCTAAGCTCATGTTCTCAGACAAGCCAGGATGAACCCAGCTGGATTCTCAGAGCAGAAGTCACCAGTCAGAAACACCAACATTCCTTGGCTTGTGATCTTACCAGACCTGACCTGGGTATGACTACAGAGGGACCAGATACCCTCTGTGCTAGCTGAGACACTCCTCTGACTGGCGATCAAGCAGGCAGAACATTTACCCTCATACATTTAAACCCCCATCTTATTCCCACCTGGTTGCCCCCCTGATCCCCACTGTTTTGATGGCTGAATGTCCTCCATATGGGACAGGCCTGGAGCAGACCACCCTGTGGGAGAACAATGGATGCAACGGAAGGGAGAAGGATCACACATGACCATCCTTTGCCCGTAAAAGGCGCGCTTGCTGGGTGGAACAAAGTTTCCTCTGTTCCTTTGGAAGGTACATCCCACCACGTGATCCAAACACTGGTCAGAAGCATGGAAAAGCCATGTGATATTAATCCGTGCTACGTGTGGGCTAACAGGAGGGACTAACGTAACCATCACCTGCTCCCAAGTGAAGAACAGCAACCGACTTCGTCCAAAAATGGAGGAGGCCCCATAAGAATGTGACCATTATCGTAGAAGGCCAAACAAGCAATGGCATTGGCATTGGCAAGCCCCTGAGTTATCCCACCACAGCGACCAAACATGTACTCACCTCAGACATCTGTGGGAAGAGACTGATGGCCAAGGGGAGGGCCAGGCCAAAGGCAGCGAGGCACACAAGGCTTTGGACTGGGAGAATCATCCGGGGACGAGACCTCAGGAGTGATGTTCTGGAAAGGAAAGGCTTCGTTAGACCATTCATAGACCAGAGGAGTGCATGCTATCATCAAGACGGACACTGGTGTTCACTCGGGCACACTGGTCTCCCTCTCCCTAACTGGTCTAGGTTCCTTCTTAGTAGGTCATCACCAACTTCATCCACAACAGATCCCGAGTCCTGCACACTGCGCTTCTGTATCTGCCGGCGTCACGCAGCCCGCGCCAACCTAAGTGCCCACTTCTCCTAAATGAAAACAGGATCACTTCACACACGCTTCCCCCAATTCAAACCATCTCGCACCGGAGTCAACAGCACGGGAGGTGATCTGGCCACATGTGGGTGTCACCTGCATTAAGGTTTTGGAGACTATGTCGAGTGAGCAGAAGGAAATTAGGTTGGTGAGAGACATCGTGAACTTTGTCAGGTACTGAAAAAGGCACACGACTTTGTTAACGGGGTAATAAAGCAGTAAACTTGACAATACCTTAATTTGCTTAAAATCGAACATCTGCAGAGTGAGTGATAAGGATGTTTTACACTTGCCGTCCCCAGGGGCTATTTATGAGTTCAAGACTTGTTAACAGCAAACACTTTAAGATACCTGCAAGGTCAAGTTCTGATAATGACCCACTAAGCGACCCTTCTGCTGCAATTATCACCAAATGACAAGGATAACATTTAGCCAATGGAAAGTGGCATTTTAAGTATATTCCAGGATACAGGACCTCAGACAATTTACAGATCTTAAAGGGAAAAATGTAATTCTTGAGGGGTTTGTTCTGGACCTATTTACACCAAAAGGACACCTGTCATTTTTCTACCAATCTGAAATAACTGGGAATATGAACCAGCAACTTGATAGTGAGATTTTTTTTGAATATTCAGTGTAGTAACATAGAGAGTCAGCGGATTCACTGCTGGGTCATCAGCTGTGGCCTTAGTCCCAACGTGCATCTCTCCTCTGTCCATCCTGCTCTTGAGGATGCCGCTGCCTCACGGTATCCTGCCATCAAACGCGGGCAAAGATCTGCCAGTTAATGCCTTTCCACTGGGATGACCCCAGAGGAGCGCTCTTTCCGTCAAGGAAGGTGCAATCCGATGACGCTCACTGGCAAACCATCACTGTGGTTACCGTCACGGGCGTTTCAAGAAGCATTTCGAATCCACCGCGCACCGCTCAGAAGGTGCCCACCGAAACCAAGCCAAGCAACCCTTCCCACACCAGGGCACGCCGCTAGCCTGCCTTGGCACGCACACGGGCGACTCTGCAGGCACACCTCCCCGTGCAGCCCGTGCCTGCAGCCAACGCAAGAGAACAGATTACCTCAACCCCCATCTACTCCACGTTTACTGCAGGCGACGAACACGCACCTGATGAATTATAACGGAGCAGCTGATGTGTGGGAACTTGTTACCCTGCTGTACGTTGTCTGTGTGTCTGAACATTCCGACTCTTCACCCTTTGCTAGCAATGCTTGCTGAAAGCTGTCTTCATCTTGAGAAGGTTTGGGGGAAGTGGGGAAGGAAAACAAGATCCAGAGCCTTAACTCCTCCAATATCTCAGCTCCTCACTAATAAGCTATCCAGACAGAGTTGATCCTATCAATTCGTGCTGTGAAAGTCAAACTTCTGTTCTCCAATATTTAGCTACTTTGTTTTGCACAGAGCACGATCTAACCTAAAAAACTCCTGCAGAAGCCCACAATTTCATCCAAGTCAGGAAAGCAGGTTACCTTGCTTCATGCTTTTTAACAAACGCAACATTCGAGACTTGCCATCAATAAGCTGTGATAACCAGTCCCTTGGATGCAGAGGGGCAACTCCTGGAACTGATTTATTCTCCTGCTTCAGCTGCCAGTGATCCATGAGATACCTCGCTGAGAAAATCATATGACCAGCATCCTTTAAGCCTCCCTGGAGTACAGTTTAGAACCAAGACATCACTGCTTATGCCACCCCTGACATCTTAATTTGGAAGCTGCACCCTCTTTAATTACTGCCCTGTTGGGGACCTTATAATCACCCAAGTAAAAACTCAACCAATTTAAAATGATCCCCGGTACAGCCCCCAGGTGCGATTTCCAGGAGTGCTTCAAACTCAGGCCAGTTCAAATTACAATGGCTAACCTCCTAATTAAGAAGAGTTATGGCTTGATTTAAAAAGGAGAGGGGACTAATTAACACATGTAGTGTAATGTCTTAATTGGGATTCAGATTCTAAAATTTGTGTGGTTCAGAATGAGTGACTCATAATTAGTTGAGAGGTCCACTTTTCTTCTGTCCCTAGGATCTCTTCTCTCGACACAGATCTCGGAAGAATATTAAATATTGCGTGCTGCACTTTGTTAGCTGTCAAGTGCAATCAAAGCCCCTCTTTTCACCCCTTAGCCCCCCATCGGAAGTGAACGATTAGATGTATCCAAAGGGTTTAATTGCAGAGCATTATAGCAGATTAAAAATAAATAACATTAACATCCATTTGCTGAAGAGAGAATTTATTTACCACACTGTCCTGTGTGCTCTGCCAAAAGGTTTGATCAGGTCAGGGGTGGCCTGGACCTTCAGATCTCCCCAACAGCCCAACTTTGCCATGGGCATCTTCTGAAGCAGGCTGCTGTAGTCACAACACCAAATACCATCGTACCCTCGCAGCAATTCTGCAGAAGTACTCTGAGCTATTCTCGTAGGAGAACAGCAGTTTTACAGACTGTCACCACGCACAGCGGACAGGGCTGGCCAGGTTCTGGTGAACCGAACCTTGGCGCCCAGATTAGACAACACGGGAGTGAAAAGTTTGCACCAAGAGAAGGTCTCGCACCAGAAACCTGCAGGAAGAGCATAATGCGCATGTTTTATTGTTACCATTTTAGAAGCCAAATTTTGGGCACCAATGGTCTGCCTCGCTAGTGTAAGTGATCCGTGTTCATACAGCGACCTTTAGACGGCAAAGAGCAGGCATTACTGCAATGCTTCCCTCCCCTTCTCTCTTTCTTCTTCTTGTTTTTTTAAATTTGTTTCTTTACCTCCCCTCCAAAACCCCCTAATGCCTATTCTTTCTGCAATTTGCTTCATAAAATTTGCCTGGCAGATATTAAAAAAATTGGGGGGCTTCTGGCTTACTGATCCTAGGTAGCACTTGCTGTTAACAGACCTACCTAAAGCAGCCAGACCTTACGGATAACATTTCAATATGCATGAATGTGCATGTACGTAGGTATATACACAGACACACGCATACTTGTACAGACAGTACATCTGCTCCGCAGAGACAGTGTGTTGTAGATCTTGTAAATACACCTTCATTCAACTTTCATCACATTGTTCATTAGTGGTTTAAATTTTGCATAATTTGGCAGCTGCCTCTGGCATTTTTCAAGAGGTACTGTAATTTATTCCATATGGAAGTCAGTTGCTGTACTAAAAAGGAGTTATCAGGTTCAGTGAACCAGAGCTGTATTTGTCTAGAAGGAGGTGTCAGATGCTAAACTAAATATGACAGGAGTTAACCAAAGTCTCCCAGCTGACAGATTCTGTGGGGTTTCTGTAGTGTTTGGTATAAACAGGTTCAAAGCTAATACATACATCGCAAGACGCCGAGGATGCCGGCGGGGTACGGAAAGCACCGGAGGCTGTAGCTCTGGGTATCCCCAGGAAGCCTGGGCTCCTCAGAGCCCGGGGTTCAAAACACCCCTCTGACGTGCAAACAAACTTTGGGGTGGTTGTCCTACCCCAGATCCCGGTTCTGCTGAGAACCCCCCAGAGCCAGCACCGTCTCTGCTTCAGAAAGCCCGTCAGGTCCCTCTGAAGGTGTTTCCGAGCTTTTCTCACTCATCTGGGGAATGCTGAGCTCTTCTAGCAACCAGGAGCTCTGTCTGCTGTCCTGTCCAGCCAGGCCACTGCTGTTCTCGCCTAGCAGATCTCCTGTAGCCCCAGTGCCCCCTCCAGAGGACACAGCAGATGCAAAGCGAGAGAGGTTGGGGGGGATTTTTGTGCTTGATTGACATAATTAAAGGAGCAGTTTCAATGTTTACCCTGGAAACAGCCACAGCAGTTTAAGGTGTCACTGCTGGCAGCTGTTTAGTTTAAACAAACTTCGGCGAGGGTTTAGGTGGACGGAGAGACTTTGCACTTCAGAGGGAGAAGAGCACCTGTAGGAAAAATTCAGCACACGCTGTCAGAAGGAGAATATGTCCAGCAAAAGGCTGTGAACACAAGGTCCAGAAGGGTCTCCTACCTCACACACGTTTCTGCAGTGAACCACATGGGTTAAGCTGAAGGAAATGCCCTTCCAGCACCACAAAACCATGGGCTGAGCATTGGCTATCCACCGAAAGAATCCGTTTTTCATGGTTAGACTGACTCGGCTAAGCCAGAACAGCTCTGTCATGTTGATCCAGTCTGGGAGCGTCCTAATTTTACGAGCTTTACAGGACAACAGCCCTGAGAACTGCTGTGTGAGGACACTGACATGCTGCGGCAGCTCTGCCACACGATCAGGATGACGTTGCGATGAAGAAAGAGCAGAAATGCTCCTCTTTTATGGACACAATTATTCTGCTCCCCGCTTCTCTCTCACCTCTTGCCCACTGTCAACAGCTCCAGCTTTCTCTCTCCTCTATAAACACCGCATAGTCGGCTCTAGGGCCTCCTCTTGTCTAACCTGACATACATGAGCTCTTGGAGCCCACCCTCAGACCTCCTGCTGCGCTTCAGACCCTCTGAGGTTGCTTGTACTATGAGGCAAAGAAGAGACTTTAGGATAAGAAGATAAGAACTTACTTTCTTCAATCTCCACTGCCAGCTATTAGCTCAAAGCCTCCACAGCAGTCATTGCCGGTGGCCTGAGCTTGTCCACCACTTGTCCAGACCACGCGAACCAAGTACCACTGGATTTGGGCTCTCCCACCACAGACCTCAGCCTACAGGGGAACCTGAGGTTGCACTTACACACAGACTGGGACGGTCTACACATAGACCAGCTGCGTGATGGGCTTCAAATCTGCAAGGAGCTGGAAGCTGGACAAAGACTACTGGAGAAGTCTTGGATGATAGCTGGGAGAAACCTGCACCATTTCACAAATTTCGTCATAACTACCTGACAAAAGGATTCACAGAAGCATCTGAATAAAGGGAAATGTCCGAGGGACTAGAAGTCCAACTTAATGCAGTGGATGTAGCTGTCCCCACACATCTGTGACATGGAGGCACTAATGAAGTTCCCATTGTCTGCTCCAATCCCACAGACGAGTCGCCTTCATCCCATAGACAATGTGAAACCAATATTTTTCCGTATTAAAGTTGCCAACACAGATATTATTTATAAAACTTAAATGAGAATACATCTGCACAAAATAACTGACACCGTGTTCCCCGCATGGCATATGTAGTCTCAAAATAAACATTGATTCTATATGTTAGCTGCTTCAACAGAGCGTCCAAGCAGCAGGAAATGCATGAAACATGGGGAAAGAATGGCGCGCTGCGGAGCTCAGCAGTGGGAGGTAACATTGAATTACTTGGAGAGCAGAGAAGGCGGCCCTGGGAGTTAAAATACACAGCAGGCAAAGAGACGAGAGAAGCCAAGAGAGCTGAAAAAAATGGCACAAGAGACGAGAGAGGCAGCTGGGGGAGTTAAAACATGCAGATGGAGAGATGGCTGAGAGAGAGGAAAGACCTGGATCCAAGTGGAAAGACGACGACCAGGAACTGGCCACTTAAAATAAACTTTTCGAATACCGAGACGAAAACGAGGGAGCGAGTTTTCCACGAATCTGAAAACCGCTGCTGAGAGCACGTAGCTTGCTCCTGGGCTGGTCCAACTCCCACCCACCTGCAGCACTGTCACCTGCTTCAACCTGGACTTCCAGAAGCGCTCTCCTCCTTCGCCACAACCCCAAATGCAAATGACTTAGTAGAGGATCCAGATTGCGACTTCTGATTCCAGAGCTCCAGCCCCCAAATAATAAGCCGTCACTCTCATCTCTCTCATTTACAGACACTGTAAGGACTTCTATAAATAAATCGATAATGCGTGCCTTGATATGACTCCCATCAAAACCGCCTTAGTCTAACTAAAATTCTACTAAACTAAAAAAGTTAAACTTTCCACCAAATGCTCCAAGTTTTTTTTTTCCAAAATGAGGTTTCACCTCTGACTGTGTCCTTGAGCAACCACTTTGAAAAATCTGTGAGCCCACAGCTGGACTGCGAATCCCTCGGCTACGGAAAGGGATGCTCTCCATGTCAGGTGGATGCTTCCACGTCCTACAGCGATACCACCACCCCTAGCTGCGTGGCCAAACCGCACCCCGCTCCCTATCCCTGCTGTTTCTCACTCACAGGCTTCCAGGAATCCAAAGATATTTGATGGAAAATGCAACAGTAGGCACAAAGCTCTAAGTAGAATTTAGGCAGGCAAAAGCAGTGCCCACATATTTTTGTATCTACAGTTTCATTTGGGGGTGGCGGGGAGGAAATTATTCTCTCACAAACCTGAATTAAGTCTTTCTATTAGTTAAAATAATGACTTTTTGAAGACAAACTCCTGTATGTCCACGTTTAAATAAAATAAGATAAAATTAGTTTTGCTAAGTCTTGCACAGAGCACAGGTGCATTTAGTAAAACTCATTCTATCAACACAAGAAGTTGTGATGCCCCAAAGTACGAAGCAAATTTTACTATTAGTTTTATTTAAGCTTATGGGTGCTTAGCAAGACCCATGATGGTCCTCAGGGTCTCCTGTTGGAGACAATTTATAGACCAGCTTTCTATAAACTTTGAATTTCTGCACATAAAGATTTTTGTCTGTTCACGTTGATAACCAGAAGAGCAAAGAACCTCTGAATTACAGCAATCAAAGACTTTGGGCTCTGGGACGATCTCTCTTGGATGAGCGGATCACCAAGGTAGGGTTAGCCTGGAACCAGTGCCTGTGTTAGACCAGCGGTAACACACGCAGCCACTTCGGTGCAAAGCCTCAGTGCGACAGAAAGGCGAAAAGAAAGAGCTCCGTGGTAAGAACATCACAAATCAGTGGCATTTCTGAAGCGTCTGGCATGTGGACAGATGAAAACAGAAGTCCTCTCAACTGACAACAGCAGAGCAGCTTTGATGGGATTATAAAGGCTAGAATCACGCGTCTGAATTTGAGGCAGGGAAGCTGCCAAGACGCTGGGATACAAAGATAAGTGACAATCCCTGTTCTTCTGACACATGCCTTTGAGCAAGCCCTGAGTAAGGTACTCCAGAGTAAGGTACTCCAGAGTCAGATATGATCACTCCCGTGCACCTCTCCTGCAGGTAGATCACGGGCTGGAGGACCGTGCGGGTGACACAAGGTCTTGGAGCAGGAAAGGGGCTGCAGAGCGTTTGTCAAGGAGGAGCATGAAGTGAAAACCAAACGCTTTGCACAAAATTAGGGGGACTGGAATCTACCCCTTGTCCTTGTGTGTCTCCAGCCATCTCCAAACAGGGGCTTGCAGCAAGCATTACCAAGACTCTGCACTGCTGCAGGGAACCACCACAGTCCCTTTGAAAAAGAGAGGAAAACAGTGTGGTTTGGCCTAAAAGGGCTGAAAGAATTTACTTTAGAGTTCCCAGAACGAGTTTGTTGCCCTGTTTCTCCGCACGCAGAGGCCGTGGAAGGAACTGATCTTGGTGAAAGCCTGTAGGTGCTGGGGGGCGGGTAGAAGAATATATGTACATTTTTAAATTTAGATGTTAAAAATCAGTCTCCAAATTTACAGAAGCAGCCCCAACCCTTCCATTAAGGAGAGAAAACCGCCCGGGGGTGTTTCTACAAGGGTAAACAAGGCTAACCAAAGCAATGGGTCAATCCCTAATCGTACTAATTGCTGTTTACTTTGTCAGTGGAGTGCTTTAGAGCAGCCATTATCAACAGATTTGTTTAAAGAGCGCTTCCAGCCTGGCTGTCTGGACAAAGGTAGCAAAGCCCTTTAGCAACCCCATCTTTCAATGCACTAATCAGTCTCCAGACGCTGGTGAGGTGAACCCCACCCCACGGATCATTCACACCAAAATGAGCCGCTGATGGGTGTCCTAAGGAGCCACAGGCACCCAACAGCTCCAAACAGGCTCATAGCATCTCTGGGCAGAAGAAAAAGTGGAGGAGTTGGAAAGCAAGGTGGGAGAATGACCAATGGACAGGGCAGTTTTGAGGGTTTTTTTGCTATTAAGAACTCTGACAGAAGAAAATTAGACATGAAATAATAACCCTGCCCTTTCCTGCCAACTCTCCTAGCACTGATGCTCCATGGAGACATCTGCCAGGAGAGATTCTGGCTGAAACAGTGATGGAAAGCAAATTTCTGCAGAATATGGGAAGCACATATTCTTCTGGGGAAGTCCAAGCCGCAGGACGTTATGGAAAGAAAATACAACCAAGTTCACGCAGGGCATAAGCAAGTCCAACAGTGGCCAAGGTGGTCTGGATGTGGTGTGTGGTCAGAAAGTCCCTGCGGTCCTGAGCACTGTCTGAACACGAGCCCAGACCCTTAGTCTGACACCACGTGGCAGCTCTAACACGTGTTAAGTGGAGGACTGAAAATTTACAGACATTTTCCCACTGAATTCCAACAGTTTTGGCTCACCCTGACCCTACAGAATAGGGTTATTTAAACTGCTGGGGTCTGAGAAAGATGATTTAAAACAACCACATCAATGTAACACTTGAACAGCCTACAAGAATGGTCAAAAATGACAGAACGTGAGAACTTTAATAAGCAAAGAAAGTCTTTGATGGACCAATGCTAAGAAATATCAACAAATAAGACCTCCTGAGTATCTTTTCTCCCTCCCCCTTGAAAAGCCCCCTCTTTATATTACCCAACACTTACTTTTCCAGTATGGACATAATAATTGGAGGTAGAACCAGTATAGGCATTGGCAGGACCACTCTCGTCAGGGCTGTTTCTAGCAGTGCCTGAAAAGGAAAAACAAACAAACAAAGCCAAGACATTTAAAACAAATCCCAGGCTGTACCTGTGCTGAGCAACCAACGCATAGGCACAGAAGTGGCTTGGCTGGCCTTTCTTCTGTCACGAATGCATCAACACACACTTTCAACCCTGCTATCAGCTATTTGTACACAACCTCTTTTCACTCTGTCGCTACAAACGATGGGCTGGACCCCATGCTTGGTCACAAATCCAGTGGAATAAATAGAGACAGCTTCCCTGATTTCACTTTACGTGACCAGAAGTGCTCCAACATCTCATCATATTGCTACGCAAACATGTTAGTGATGCCTGAAAGAAGAAAGAGAGGCCAAGCAGTTGCCTGGAAGGTGCAATATCTCAGTATGGGCTGAGCAGCAGCTTCAGCCCTTCCTCCCTTAACTGAGTTTCAATTTCAATTACGTGCTGGGGGAACGCAGCACCTTGTTGCCTGGTTCAAGACTTGTTTCTATTTTTTTAATCGCTCGTGGTTTATTGCAAAGCATTGTAGCACACAGGGCTCTCCTCTCCCAGGAAGACGCCCAACTATGGAGCTACGATTGCTCCTCCGCTGGTGCCTTCTCCCTGGCAAGATTCACCAGGAAGCAGCAACCAAAGCAGCATGATAATACATCTAAATTACCCCGAGGTGAGACCCAGAGAAGATCATGGGCACTCCAGCAAGGTGTATAACCACTGCTGTGTCCTCATTTACCTCTTCCAACCACCTTTGCCAGCACCCACCTAGGATGCTCCAAGCGCTGCGACCACGCATGGGGCTTCGGCAGCCATAGGCAGAGGATACTATAAATTTTGGATGGGAACGCTGAAACTCATGCATACGGCCAGGCTTGGGAGCACTCACTCCTTCCAAACTGGAGAAGGTCTCAAAGACATGTTACACTAAAGATCTGCCAAATTTTCCATGACAAAACCCAGTACTAAGCTGTTCAGGAGTAAGCATCGGGACTAGATGACAGCTGAGCAATTCTCCAAAGCCCCAGATTTGATGTTTCAACTCCACCTAAATCACACTTGCAGTACCTTCACTTTTAATATTTATTTTCTATGTTGTCTGTCTTCCCCTCAACCATTAAGATGGAGAGGGGAAGCTGGGTCCTGAAGCCAGTTAATGTAAGTGAGGAAAACTGGCTCAAATAAGTATCTCTGAGCCCTTCAACAGATTGTTTTAATCTCCCTGTTAAACAACAATATGGAGAGATATTAGAGATCTCCCATTTCTTGCCGAGGACTGTAAATCTGTACATTAATTGCTGTCTATGAAGTGCCTTAAGAGCCTTGGACAGAAGGAGCGAGAGAAATGCCAAGCTTTATATTATTAACTCCTCTGCCTGGGCGTGTGCTTCAGTACATGCTTTACATTTCAGATTAAAGCCCACTTGGAAACAACATGCCTCAGACAATCAGATGATGCTCAGAAGACAGAACTATGTAAGAAGTGAAGGAAAGGGAATAACTGCAGGCAGACGGCTGAGAGTGGAAGTTTACGGGGGAAAACGAACCAGGCGTTCGGATGAGGATAAAAACATCTGGCTGCCCTCACGAAGCGTTGGCTGGCAATTGTGACTGCAGCTTTGGTATGGCAAGGGTTAAAAAGCTACTCAGCTCGAAAAAGAAGCCTTCCTCCTTTAGAAAAAGGGGTGAGTTATGTTTGCTTTGTATTCAACACAAACCCCTTACAAGTTTCCACAACGAAATCCGCAGGCTGTGAAAGCACCAGGGCAGTACAGGATCCCCCTGACGTCAACCCCTGCCCTTCCAAAACCACCAAGGTCAGCCACCGAATTTGCCAGCACGACACGAGCCCGTGCCCACCAGCGCGCTCCGTTTCGTGGCTGCGCAACGGCACGCCTGGGTACGACGCGGGCATTGAGTTCCGCCGCTGCGCTCCTCCTGCTCATCTATTTCTAGCTCTTCCAAGACATCGAGTCCTACAGCTGTGGGATTTGTTGAGCCCGAAGGGCAGCGGTGAACAAGCTCACCCGGAACGTCGCAGGTACATACGTGTTTTGCAGCGATTCTGGAAGACCCGACGATGTTTCCGTTATTGTCCAAAACATCAATTCCTTCTTCCAGCTCCGTGTGCCTCATCAGGACAACATTGCAGATATTGGCACTAGCTGAGGATGAGAAAAGCACGCTGATTAGCAACGCAGCCCTGGTCAATACCAAATGGCAGGCTTCTGTTCGCCGCGACAGCCCTTCAGCTTTGCTTGCATCAATCTGCCAAGAAGTTTCTGCAAGTCAAGGAGCCACTCTTATTCCAAGACAAAGATGTGAGTCTTAAGAGGAGAATAATAATCAAGATCGTTTTCTTTCGCTTGCAAAGGGACCTGCTGCCACAATCAGAAACATATTGACGCAAAGAAATACCAGCATTTCCAGATGTTGGTGTTGGCACATGCGCCCACCCTCCATAGTGATCCTCCACCCGACATTTCGATCTGCTAAGTCAAAACAGGTCCTTGGACTGGACTGCCAGTTGGTCTTGGCCAACCAGGCACGCTGCTGATTGACAGCTGCCTCTCCTGATTGTACATCCCAGAGCTGGTTTTAACACCCCATACTAAAAACTACTTAAACAATGGATTTTAGCAGGTATGACGGAAATCCACTGCAAGGGATTTCACTGACCTATGAAGACAGCTTAGATCTGAGCTCTTAAGAGGACAGAATTTTTTTTTAATCAAATAAGACAAGGTTGGGTTACTTCCATGGACACGTACCCCATTAGTGAGGGTCCTGCAGATTATTTGCCCTTATTTCACATGTTTTAGGCAGAAAATGGCTCTGTGGACTTGCTTTCTAGAGTTAGAGACCTGTTTCTTTGCTTTAATGATATTTTTCTGAGCTACGACACAAACCAGCAGCTCTTTGCATGGCTCCGTTCCCCAACTGACATTTTCCAGATCTCAGCCCAGCCTTCACAGCAGAGATGGGAGGAGGTCTGGGACCCTTTCTGACACACGCCCCCCCTCTTGCCCAGCCTGTGGCTTTTGTAGCCTTCTCGAGATCATAGAATCATGGAATTGTTTGCCCTGGAAAAGACCCTTAAGATCATCAAGCCCAACCTTTAACCCAGCACTGCCAAGTCCACCACTAAACCATGTCCCTCAGCCCCACATCTACACGGCTTTTGAACCCCTCCAGGGATGGTGACTCCACCACTGCCCCGGGCAGCCTGTTCTAGTGCTGGACAATCCTTTTCATGAAGAAATTCTAGCCAATATCCAATCTAAACCTCTCCTGGCACAACTTGAGGCCATTTCCTCTCGTTCTGTCACTTGTTACTGGGGAGAAGAGACCGACCCCCACCTCACCACAACCTCCTTTCAGGCAGTTGCAGAGAGCGATGAGGTCTCCCCTCAGCCTCCTCTTCTCCAGACTGAACCCCCCCAGTTCCCTCAGCCACTCCCCACAGACCTGTTCTCCAGACCCCTCACTGGCTTTGTTGCCCTTCTCTGGACACGCTCCAGCACCTCAGCGTCTTTATGGCAATGAGGGGCCCAAAACTGAACACAAATGACCCCAAATTCTGCTCCTTAAGTAACGTGTTAAGAGTTGGGGTTGAGAAACATCCTGCCCAGCTACAGCTTCTCTCCGGGGCCCAGGCACCTCTTAAATTTTTCCGAAGAAAAGCTGCTAATTCCTACAAAAGTTTTGGTTTTGACAAACTGGCATTTTCCAGCAACCCTCCCCACCCACCCCCCATTTTGCTGCAAACTTTCCAACCAGAACTAATACAAACCCACTGTTGCTGCAAGTACCACTGCTTCCAAAAATGTGTTTCTGTACTGCTTGATGGGTTAATATTCACTAATTAATCTCAATTCATGTCATATAACAAATGTCTAATTTTTTGAGGGTGGTGGGTGGGTGAGCCCTATACGAATGCAGCTTTCTGCAATCAAGGATGATTTGTGGTGACAAATGCTCCTTACACTTGAGAATAAGAGGAACATACACACACGCACACTCTGTCTCTCTCTCTAATATTCGAACTACTGGACCACTCTTCCCATCTATCAAAATATCTGTGTTACCAACCCTTCAGCTCCTTAATCCAAGATAAAAAAGAAAACAGGCACTTCATCTAAGGCAAGTTTAGCCCCCCTTTTTTT